AGAGAGAGAGAGAGAGAGAGAGAGAGAGAGAGAGAGAGAGAGAGAGAAACGAGATATGACGAAAGCGTCAAACGTGTCAGAAACCACAATGAGATACGTCGATTAATTCCTGTCGCGTTTTATGATCGCTCATGCACAGAAAAGTAGGCAATGCACAAGGATCGTCGCATTTAACCGTGACGCAACGAAATGCGGTTTAATTATCATGCATTACCTGCATTATCTATCAATTACGCGAACGCAGAAATTGTTCCCAGCGGTGCGCGACCCCGGCTTTTCACGCACAACGAAAGGTCGGGGGACCGAACGAAAAATCGCGCTAGGAAAGCGCTTTTTCTTTTTTCTCCAATTGCAAACGCACATGTGCGTTTTCGCAACAAGTATTCGAATAACACTCGCTAGTAAAAGGAAATTTCCTCGAAATAACCGTAAACACGCGTCCTGTTTAATGTTCGCGATTTTACGATTTTATAGAGCCGGGACTTTTTCAATTTTCTCCGCGGCAAATAACCAATTTCGCGATAGTCCATCGCGACTTCCTTCGATGAGCACAGTGTAGCAAGATTAATATACTTGAGATAAATACGCTATAAGAAAAATATACGGAAAGTTTATAACTCTTTGTGCTCTCGCGAGACACTATCCGTGCGTTTACTTACCTATTTATATTTTGATATTTTATTCCTCACAGAGAGCTTTATTCTTAATTAATTAATAAATATACTTGCTTAAATGGTATGGTAAGATACCATTACGTAGAAAAATACATACAGAAAAATACATATTACATTCAAGTGAACTTGCTTCACAAGTACTCGACGAGTTCATATATCCGTAAATCTGTAATATAAGTTTAACATAAATATAAAATTTACTCAAAATACATTCTGAATTCTCGTAAGTTTAGCATTTTAAGAATATTAAATTAAAGCAAAAATTTTGTTGCTCACTACGAGTAGAGTCGAACCAATTTGTTCTTCGAGAAAGAATTTCATCATATTTTTGTAAAAAGAATAAATTCTTCTTTTAAATACACGATAATGAGTTTTTCTAAGATTTGTAACAGGTATTTTTAAGATCATTATCAAGGAGATTCTTTGTTCAAGATACTCGTCAGTTAAAAGCAGGAAAGTGAATGCTTTCTTTTCAGCTTTTCTCAGCAGAATGATATTTTTCTGCATGTATCACAGATATATGATGCAACGAGGCGTCCTTTCTAAATAAATGCATTTCGTAACAAAAAAGTAAGACTGTCGCTAATTGTACTAAATAATTCAAGCGGCCAAGTTTCGCGTCGCTACAGTCGGATTTTTCTCTTGAGTGCGAATTCAGGTCGAAAAAACCAACGCTGCCGGCGCCATGCAGCTTTTAGTTTATGTTCGTGCTAATGGTTTATTGACGCGATCGGCGCGTTCAAGTTTCGACGTTTCTACGGTGTAAGAAGATTACAACGTAACTTCGCTCCGAAGTCTGCAGGCGCACGTCATCTCGGTGCACTTCCATCGACTTCACGATAGAGATACGCAACGGTTGACGCAATCTTGTTACACCGTTGGAAACAATTCCGGGTATTTCGTGTTATTATTTATCTTCGGAATAAGATTGGCACGTCAGAACATCTAGTTTATGAAAGCATGAGAATTAAATGTACTTATCGCACTCATTTCCGTTAACCCAAATTATCAACGAAACGTTTCGTTAAATTATGGAGAAAACAAAGATCTTGCACGAGTTGATATTACGAAATGCAGGGACTTATCTTCGTTCAATTTTTCGTAGTTGATATTTCTTTTTTTCAAGAAAAATTTCCACACATGATAACGAGTTATCAGCAGCGGATATATCTTTGGAAAATATATTATTTCCAGATCTTATCAATTTATATTTACTCTATTACAAGATATGTGATAAAATTACATTTATCAAAATCGTGTCATCTTCCAACGCGGTATCGAGATTTCACTGTATTACTAATTGCTTCCGTGAATTATGCGTCAAATGTTCCGGTTTAGAGCATTACGTTTCTGAGTTCCAGTCTCATTCCGAAGACGCGATTTATCAGCGGTGAAGACAGCGATTCCGAGTTTCCATTTAATCACACGAGTTGTACACGTTGCGCGCCATTTTTCTTATACCAAGAAACGTCTTCCAATTCGTCTCAAAGAATTGTTCGCAAAAAACGGATTTCTCCTTTTTCGCCTCTTTTCTATTGTCATTTCTAAATTTATTTAAATATACGTATCTCACGAATGAGTGTGCAAACTTTTATCGAATATATTAAACGACTTTATGTCTTCAGTTTCTGAAGAACGAAACTTGTCTTAATATTTAATTAATGTATAAAAAAATTAAAAGAACATTACATCTCTATTACCAGGCAATTTCTGACGGTGTGCAGAATTCGTCATCTTTTTCGATCGTGCATACGCGCGTGCACGCGTGTCGCTTATTTATTATTTATGACATGCATCCGTACACAGGTGTTCACGATACGCGAGCGTATTTACAAACGATATCCAAATCGTATCAGTTATTTACATTTCTGGCTGTTATTTATCTGATTGTAAATGCTTTAAAAAGTACCTACACGTTATGAGAAAAAAGATATCTATAAATAAAAAATATTTATTCAAATATTGTATAAGAAAATATACATTTTCCCAAAGTCTTAGCTTTTCATGAAGACAGTTTTCTCTATCTAAATAAAATAATTTAGGTGTAAGTAAATTAGTACCCACCGAATAAATATTTATATATTTTTCCTCTCAGTGTACGTCACACCTTATTTGAATTTTAAAACAACTGATGTAGCAACGTATTATATGCTACCGACAATATGTAGTCACCGTATAATTTCCGAGCATTGCAAAATTATTATGCAGGTCATGTTAAATTTTAATTCAGTTTTGAGGCAAATCAATCTTTTTTCAACGACTGGTATTTGATTCGTCGATATCACGTCTATTTTTTGGATTTTGTGCGCATACCGAATGCAATAATACTTGGAAATAACGCGCGGCTCGTGTTGCAACAAAGTTTTCCATTTTTATTAAAGAACCGCCCATCCTCCCTGTACTGTGCACATCGAGTTGCAAAACGTTTTAGACACAATGAAATTGAGATCTCACTAAAGGATCAAAATTGAGAGTTGATCCCGATTTGACGAGTTTGTCCAATAATTATACACCAATTAATTATTACCAATTATTACTGGTATTATTATTTATTGATATTTAGTGTCCTAAATATTATCAATTGCATTAGGAGTCCGTCGGTAATGACCCTCAATTTTGATAGGTTTGATGCGTTACTAATTTCATAGTGTTTAAACTATTTACAAACTACTGTAGAGAAAATTTTGGCTACGATGTGAAAATGCATCGTGAAAAATGGCGGCGACGCACGGAATTGGATCGCAGTCTTTGTTAGATTCTTTTGTGCACTCACCTATTCTGCTGCCGGGCCATCGTTCCCAAGAAATCCCAAAGGGCCGCATGGTTCGATGTCGTCGCTGGGACCCGAAACAACGGTCTGACTGGCTGGCTGGCTGGCTGGCTGACTGCTTCGCTCGATCGCTCGCTTTTCCCTTACGTGAATAACAGCTGTCGAGCTACAGGCTGCCGTGGAGTCTGTATACGATTTCGCGCGCGCGCGCGATTTCTCACATACCGTCGCTTCGCGGTATCACGCGCGCACACACGCGCCAACAAATCACCGGTGAGGTGAGATGAGAGAACGGAGCCCTTAGAATGCCGTTGTCGTCACTGAGACCTTTCCTGGTGGAATGAGCGAGCGGACGAGCGAGCGAGCGAGCGAACGAGCAGGAGCGTGCGTCACGCGCGCCACCGAACGGTGAATCGTCCTGTAGTTTGGGGTCCCTCTTCCTGAACCTGTTCAAGGGCAGACACGTTGCGTCGTAAAAAAGGACGCTCAGCCCACTACGCCGCCTGTGTGTATTTAGGCTAGTGTTTTCCAAGCACTCGTCGCTGCGCGACAGATAAGCGTTAGGTACGCGTTTTGTTCGATTTCTCTTAACAAGAATTACGCGCTCGAAACACAAGCTCTTGCAACATATCGAGAAATGCACTCTACCCACTGGAATATTGTCAGCGTTACTCTCGATCGAGAAAACACTCGAGAAACAAATTTGACTTTTGTTGGGAAAGAAAGTTGGAAACGCCGAGTTTTCAACGGAAAGCAGAAGTTCAGTCTCTTCGGAAGAGAGTTGAAGAGCCCGGTTTCGACTGCAGTTTACGAGCTCGAGGAGTTGGCGGTTGGAAATTGAATTCTCGCGAAATTTCGTAATCAAGCGCCGATGCGATTTCGGACCGATTGATTCTCCGCGATATTCATCGGCGCGAATTGATTCTCGGCCCAAGTTTACGATTAGGAATCGATCGTCTGCGCGGATTGAGCCGCGAATTGGCTTTGCGCCAAGCCGATAATCGCGGATCAATCTCTCTCTCTCTCTCTCTCTCTCTCTCTCTCTCTCTCTCTCTC